TTGGGTCGACCAAAAGAGTACCTTTTTTGCCAGTACCAAAAAGTTGCACCATTTAAGTATTGGGAACCCTGGTCGACCCAAAGGGCCAGGTCTCAAATCTACACAGTAAAATAACAACATACTGGAGTGAACGATATGGAAGAAAATGCAAAATAAAACCAGTGAAGAGCAGGGAGGCCATAGGCACAACCAGAGAACACTGAATAAACATCAGAGGTCCACGGCTGTTCAACATCCTCCCAGCGACTATAAGAAATATTGTCGGAACAACCGTGGACATCTTCAAGAGAGAACTAGATAGTTTACTTCAAGAAGTGCCGGACCAACCGGGCTGTGGTGGTTATGTGGGCCCTGCGGGCCGCTCCAAGCAACGGCCTGTTGAACCAAGCTCTCACAAGTCAAGCCTGGCCTCGGGCTAAGCTTGGGGTAATAGAACAACTCCCGGAACTCCATATCAAGCAGAGGTTGGGTCTACCTGGGAACCATCTACTTGTTTTGGTTACACTATGTACGACTAACCATCTTCACTACACACTATCTTCATCACAGTAACCATCTTAATCATCAAGTAGAAAATAAAATGATGCCTGAAATTTATGAGGATTGAATATGGTATACAGAATTTGTATTTATTGAATTTTTAACCACACAAACACACACACACACACACACACACACACACACATATATATATATATATATATATATATATATATATATATATATATATATATATATATATATATATATATATATATATATATATATATATATATATATATTATATATATTATATATATATAATATAAACTATACTGGTAAAAATGATTGTAGAGTGTACCAGTCATGCGCTACCGTCTACGATTTGTCATGCAAACATGGATGAAACATATGTGTATAGTTCCTCGACACGAGATGGACTTTACCTACACGGCGCCCTCCACAGTACCTCGGAATGCCAACTGTGTCGCGACTTCTGCACCTTGTTTAGGCAACCTCTAAAGGGGGTCCATCTTATATCATGTTAAAATACTTTTCTTAGTTACAACCCCAGTGAGCTGTGTCATGTCCAATAATAATGAGGTTTACGTAGTTCCTTTTGGGGTACCTTCTTCATGCCTCTCATTTCTTCAGTATCCTGTGTACTACTAACTACAGTGTATCAGTCATGCATTCATTTGTAGCATAGTTGATATCGTGATTAATCCCACAGAGACGCACCACACTCTTCTGCCACCTTGAAATAAGATACCATCATGAACTTCTCCAAAATATGCTGGTTTAACACGACATGCAAACTTATAAACCTGATACATCTCTCCTTTACATGGCATGTAAATATTGTGGCACATTATCCATCCTCCTTCCCTTCCCTTCCCTTCCCTTCCCTTCCCTTCCCTTCCCTTCCCTTCCCTTCCCTTCCCTTCCTCACCCATCCTCTCATTCGTCATATCTTGCTATGTATGAGCAGAATTTGCACAAACATACTATCATCTCTCTGCACATCTACCACATTACACCCCCCTTCATCCCCACACACACACACACACACCACACACACACACACACACCACACACACACACACACACACACACACACACACACACACACACACACACACACACAACACACACACACACACACACACACACACACACACACACACACACACACACACACACACAGATAATGAGAAAGATTTGAACGAAAGATAACTGCAGAGTGCTCCATGAAGATCAGAATAAACTACAGAACTTTTCTAATAAGTAGCTCCTCGATTTCAATCCCAGCAAATTCAACACTAAGGAACGGATAAAGAAGATCAGAATCGGAGAATGAAAAGAACATACGAGTTGATTAAACACCAAACCTGTCGCCTGAAGCACACACAGCATGAATAAAATACAGATTTGCGACGCTAGCAAATAATAAAAAAAAATGTAATCTTAATAAAGTTAGTTTCATTGAACACTGTGAATCAGCCTTATCGTAGACGTAGCACCAGCGTTGGAGCACCATTATTGGTGCTCCAACGCTGGAGCACCAATAATGATCCTCTAATTATTGAGCACCACCTCAATAATTAGAGGATCAGGTAAGAAAATTTAACATCACTAGGACTAGAGACATGATTACAACGTACGAGATAGGAATATCCAACTGAAGCTTAAAGTATCTACAAAGCTGACAAACTGAGTTAAGAATGCGCAAAACAAAGAGACAAGAATGAAAATTACGTGTTTCAAATGTCTAAAGGACGTAAAGAAGCCTTTTTGGTTTATTGTGAGGACAATGAACAGCAAAAACGAGTTAGAAAATGACACCGCAATCAGCTCTCAACTGATCGGGCCCGAGTTCAGTTCCCGAGAAAGTGAAAGTTTTGTAAATGTTTCTTTTCATCTGATGTCTATGTTCAGCTTGAATTAAATATGTACCTGAGAGTTAGTAGATGTTGTAGGTCAGTCGCATGCTCTAAAAAAACCTAGATAACCAAACAGGTTTCCTATTCCTAGTAATAGAAAACCCATAACAACTGGATAGGCTACAGGGATCATTGCATCATGGCCAACGAAAGGCGGGATCTAGGAGCTAAAGCCCTACACAACATGTTCTGAACGCCGAGCATTTAGCACCTTAGCGTGGCAAGGGAAATTTAAACAAGTAATTACAGGCCTGTCAGCAGGGTGTTTTCCTCGTTAGAGAGGCAGGCTTGCGGGTGCAAGGGTGAATCAGAGTGACATCTGGCAATTAAGAGTGCCAAGCGTGTAATTCCTCTTGAGTGTTAGTGTCACACCTCTCTTGTTACAGAGGCATGTGGAATAATACTTGTCGTTAAGCATCGCTTTCTCACCCTAAGAGTCGTACTAGGCTACGATCTTATCACCCTAAGAGTCGTACCAGGCTACGATCACCTTAAGAGTCGTACTAGGCTACGATCTTATCTCCCTAAGAGTCGTACTAGGCTACGATCTTATCACCCTAAGAGTCGTACCAGGCTACGATCACCTTAAGAGTCGTGCCAGGCTACGATCACCCTAAGAGTCGTACTAGGCTACGATCTTATCACCCTAAGAGTCGTACCAGGCTACGATCACCCTAAGAGTCGTACCAGGCTGCGATCACCCTAAGAGTCGTACTAGGCTACGATCTTATCACCCTAAGAGTCGTACTAGGCTACGAGGTTAGCAAAGCCCGGCACTACTGTCTTATCACCAAAAGATACACAACGTTAATCGCATTCAAAATCTGCAGAGTTACTATATTATCAATAGCCTTGCATAATGCTCAAATCTTGTAACTAAACAGTGTATCCCTGTCTCTCATCCTAAATATAGTGTTATCTTGTCACACTAAGTATAGTATTATCTTGTCACCCTAAGCGTAGTGTTTACCCTAAGTATGCATCACCACCATTTTCCCCAAAGCGTTCATCTTTATCTTTTCACTCTAAACGAAGTCACCTTATTATCTTTAACTTTCATCGTCACTGTAGGTATAGTGTCTGTGTAATTGTTAATGTACATTTGACACAGTACATCGTAAGTGTTTGTTATTTGAAGGATAGTCTTCAGTATATTCGTATATATTGCAAAATTATTTACACTGTGCGTCACTGTCACCCAAGATACAGAATCTCTCTTGGCCATTCTTTATTCATCTGTATTCACCATAATTCACTATTATTATTCTGCTAACGCAGAATTACATTAAGGAAACCAGTATTGCCCTTATACACAAGGAATGCAATTTTATCCTAGAAAAGCCACCTCACCATTGAGGAGTCGTCTCTGCCACCCGATGAGCTCTCCATCAGTGTTAATAATTCCTAAGTAAAGATAAGGCGCGGATACCTGGGGCCATTTACCATGTTTAACTCATTAAAGGCTTTTAAAGTTGTCCAAGTCACGCCATTATTACTCCTTAAACACACACACACACACTCGCATATTCACACACACACACACTCTCTCTCTCTCTCACACACACACACACACACACACACACACACACACACACACACACACACACACACACACACACTCGCATATTCACACACACACACACTCTCTCACACACACACACATTCACACACACACACACACACACACACACACACACACACACACACACACACACACACACACACACACACACACACACACACACACACACAGCGCTCTATGACCTATAATTGCAAACGATCAGGATTTAAATTTTATTTTCTAACTAGGCAGTAAAGACGGTAATAACTAGCGAGTACCATTTCATGCGGCAATTTGTTATAACGAGTTCAAATTATGGCTCGTCTAATGACGCGCCCGAGTTGCTTGTTCAGTGGGGCACGAGGTCAGAGTTTGGAGCGGGGAAAAAAGGGGCTAAGTTCGAGGCTAAGCGGCGTCACATGGGGGATTATATTCGTTATAAATGAAGTTAAACTAGAAGTAAGGGAGTCGATGTATTTCCGGATTTCGTTACTGGAGGTAAAATCTAGACCGCTAGATGATATTGTAATGTAAAAAAAATAATCACGCAGTTCTGCTTCTTTATGTCTGATAAACATGTACAAGAATGTGGATTATAGTGTGTGACTGAATCCTAATGCACGTAGAAGTGACTCATCTTTTAAGACAATTCCCGGCTTCTTCGTAGTTCTGTCTCGTTACTCTGAGAAGTTTTCATAAACACAAAGTCATATTTTTTTATGATAAGCTCTCCAGAAACAAACAGAGTTAATTGGCTCTCATTATAGCAGCGTCATCTTGTTTACCATCTCAGCGGGAGTAAATTAAGCGTATAAAAGTTCGTCCGAATCTTGTACGAATTGCAATTAAAATATCAGCCTTATCCTAAATCAATAAATAATTGAATTTATCTATAAAAAATATCGCTCTATTGAAATTAAAAACAAAACACATATCAAAAGAAGCCTCAATACAAGCAACACAAGCAAAAAATCGACACAAACACCAGAAAACCTAGACAACATAGATTAGCTTACCTTAAAGGATCTGTGTCTTCACTGTAGCGCAAGACTTTGCTCCTGGTTATCTTACACTGATCATCTCCAGAGCTTTATATCCCTCCCCAGGGGCAGAAAAAGTCACTTGCGGGAACAAGCATTAAACAATTTTATTTCGCATGCACTCCGCTATGGATCACTCCATAGCGCCAGTCTGGCAATAAACGTGTAGAACTTCACATGAATATATTCCTATTCACTGTCATCTCTAATAAATCATTCAAACCCCTTTCCTACAACCAATGCGTCTTATGCACTCCACGGTCGCGAAAACACACAAATACGATAAATTTAACTGAAATCCCTCATGGGAAATCGGTATATATATATATTTGGGCGGAGCGCGCGAGCGAGCCACCTCTTGAGAGGAGCCGAGGGGAGGAAGGTGGAACCGCCACGTCCTCGCTCGGTCGTGTCTGCAGGGAAACTGAACCGATTGACGCAGTGACGCTCGCGGGGTCGGTCGTGGATGGTAGTGGGAGGGATTGAAGGGGAAGAGAGGGACGGGGGCGAGATGGTTGATGGAAGGGGGGAATGAGGGAGGGATGGGTGTAAGGGTGAGAACATTGAGTAGAGGAAGCCGGAGATATATATAAGAGTTTGTGGCGAATAGGAGAGAATAGCTAATGTGGTGTTGGTTTGTGGTAAAGAGATAAAATATGATATTTAATGCAGGGGGGGGGGAAAGAAGCTGAAAAAGGAGAAAATATTACCTTAAGAAGGATTAATTTCATTTAATTTTTATGCACCTTCACTGATGGGATTAATAAACTCGTCTTACAATTACAAGGTTTTTTTTAGAAGCTGTAAAACCCAGCTTAAAACGGTTGAACAGGGCAGCCAAGGAGATAAATGGATACACGGATGGAAAAGATTTAAGCGGGAGATTACAAGAAGAATCAGAGGAGATTATCTGAGAGAATGAGAGCAGGAAAGAGGAAAGGAACAGACTGACAAGGTAAAGACTTACTCAAGAAGGGTAAGTCGAGACAGAAGAGGAAAGAAAATAACGTGATCCCGAGAGGTACGGACGCGTCTCAGTGTGTGGACGGGCTGTGGAGTTTGCCAGTGAGGCAGAGGAGGGTACAAGTGCATTTGGGGAGCGGAGAAATGAGGGAATTTAATGTGAGGGATAATAAAGGCAGAAATTAGTTATGCCTGCGAGGGGATGAGGTGGAATCGTGGTGGTGGTGTTTAGGACGTCTATGGTGGTGCTGGGTAGGACGTCTGTGGTGGTGTTGTTTAGGACGTCTGTAGTGGTGCTGGGTAGGACGTCTGTGGTAGTGTTGTTTAGGACGTCTGTGGTGGTGCTGGGTAGGACGTCTGTGGTAGTGTTGTTTAGGACGTCTGTGGTGGTGCTGGGTAGGACGTCTGTGGTGGTGCTGGGTAGGACGTCTGTGGTGGTGCTGGGTAGGACGTCTGTGGTAGTGTTGATAAGGACGTCTGTGGTGGTGCTGGGTAGGACGTCTGTGGTAGTGTTGTTTAGGACGTCTGTGCTGGTGCTGGGTAGGACGTCTGTGGTGGTGCTGGGTAGGACGTCTGTGGTAGTGTTGTTTAGGACGTCTGTGGTGATGGTGCTGCTGCTGAGATGCGCATCAGCGCGCGGGTAGTCCTGACAGGAATATGCAAGAGAACACTGGTGACTATATAATATTTCTAACATTATTACATTCTATGTGTGAAACATAGACATGCAATAAAATATTTCTTGCATGTGAATGAATATTCGGAAACTAATGACGTATATGAACACATTACTACTAAAAACCTTATCCCATTATCGAACCTTTCTGCCAATTACCCACAGAACATAATAATATAAATAAACGTAAAAGAATATTACCTCTAATGCAACATTTAGAAATATTACTGCAAGATAAAGCATACGTAATAATATTATTGCTGGCTGCAAAACGGATATAACTATTACTCTTAGCTACGAAGCGATAAGGAATACGCACGATGCTAAGAACGTGCCTAGAACACTCTGCTGATAAGAACAGCAAGTGAAGGCACATATATGACTCGTGCCTCAGACCTGCAGTGGAGGAGAAGGTGGTAGTGAACGTAAGGAGATAAGAGAAAGAGAGTGAGAGAGAGACAGAGAGAGAGAGAGAGAGAGAGAGAGAGAGAGAGAGAGAGAGAGAGAGAGAGAGAGAGAGAGAGAGAGAGAGAGAGAGAGAGAGAGAGAGAGAGAGAGAGAGAGAGAGAGAGAGAGAGAGAGAGAGAGAGAGAGAGAGAGAGAGAGAGAGAGAGAGAGAGAGAGGAGAGAGAGAGATGTAGAACAGAGGGAGGGGTGGAGAATGAAGGGGAAGGGAAGGGAAGGAAATTATCAGGATAGAGGTCCAATTTATTACTACTATGTAGCACTGGGAAAGAATCAAGGTAAGGATTTGGAAAGGGAAGGAAAAAGGAAAATAGAAGGAGGGAGTGAAGGAATGATAACAGCAGGTGGAAGAAAGTATAATTTGAAGCAAAAATGGAGTAAAATATAGGGAAGGAATGATAATAGAGAAAAGAATGAAAGGAGACTAGAGGGAAGGAGGGAGGAAAGAAGAATAGAGAACGGGAGAAGAGAGGTAGGGAAGGGGGAAGGATAATAAAGAGATGGAGAATGGAGAGAGACAAATTGAATATAGAGAATAAAAGAATCATACAAATATATAATTTATTATAAATATGGATTTATAAAGTAGGAGAGAAATGGAGGAGGAAGAGTCTGAAAGAACCAGAGAAGGAGGAGGAGGAGGAAGAAGAAGAAGAGAAAGGGAAGGAGGGTAGAAGCACGGAAGAGAGTGAGGTAAGCAGGAAGAGGAGAAAGTGGTTGCTACGACAGTGCTGTGTAGTACCCCGCCCACCATTCACAAACCGAGACAATGAATTGGTTTTTTTTGTACGATCAATATATTCGTTCTTTTCAAGGACACTGGAAACATCTGACTTGACGGCTGGAACAGGAGCAGATATAGGGTAAAATATGACAGATATGTGGGAAAACTAGACAGTTATGTTTGACATCAGGTAGATATTAACTAAGTCGTTTTGTCGGGGACAGGAAGCCTCGATATATATATGTTTTAGGCTTGTATCGAGGTTCACTCCCAATGATCGAACTACTGATCTCTCCCAGGATGTAACACTCACAACAGTTACCTAACTCCCGGGTACCTATTTACTGCTAGGTGAACATAAGCATTAGGCGAAAGAAACGGGCCAAAATATTTCTGGCCGGCCCGGTAATCAAACCTGAGATATGGTGGAAAATTTAACAGATACGGGTGAAATTAAACAGGCGGGAGAATGCGCGAGAAATTAGAAACCATAGGCAATACTGGGAAAGAATAGGCAGAAATATTGAAAATAGAGAAACGGTAAAAATAAAATATAATGCTTAGAAATAGGGGGAATAGGCATAAATGGTGAACAAGGAACAGAAATGGAAAACATGGGAATAAATTGGTGCGAGTAATCATAACACGCGTGAAGAAGAGAGGGGGAGGCAAGCCTAAATAAAGCAAGACCGATAAGAAGCATTAAAATTAATAATAAAAAATAGAATTTTGTGAAAAAGAGGCATAGCAAAAATAATATACTGTAGAGGCATGAATGTATCTACAAGGGAAACAAATATACCCAAAGAAATCGTGACGTTATCAGGAGCATTGATTGTTTACGTTGTTACAAACAATTACCTGCTATATTGTGGTTCTTGACACCTGAGATACACCATGATTTCAGACCGAGAGTAGACAGGTGAACCAGTCCACGAGGCAAGAGAGTGCCTTAGGAGGCGGGGTCCCATCAGTTCAATTAAGTTTACCTAATTCCATCAGTTCAATTAGGTTTACCTGATTGAAATGATGGGTACATTTGTTAAAATTACAAATTTTCTCTGTTTCTCACTGCTATAGTCAAAGTATGATGGTTTGAAAATTTATGTTAATTTTCCTAAGATCAGTGCATAATGTTTTGTAATACTAAAATAACAATTATCGTATTTTTATTTTTCAGTCATTTGGGCAAATGGGAGAAAACCATTGGAAAAATCGTTTTGGGGGGTGAGTATTTAACTATTGGCTGCTGTTCTCTTTTTTGAAATTTTACAACCGCCAGGCCTTTATTTTTTTAATAACACATTTAGATACATATACATTTATGTGGCTAGATTTGATTGTCTGAAAGGGTACTTAGTGTCTCACGATCTAGCTATGTACCTGACCATGTTGAACACATATCTCACAGGAATCAGAGTGCTAAATTAGAATCAGAGAACGGGGTTAATTGAAGTGCGCACGTATAAGTACCACCGGTGACTTAGAAGTGCACCAACGTACCATTAAGTGCTTATTGTACCAAGGTACTATTGAACCAAGGTACTACTGAGAGGTTCTTGTACCAAGTTACCATTGAGTGCTAATAGTGTGCTCAAAGGTACCACAGAGGAGCCAAAGCTCTCATTGCAAGTGTAGTCGTTGTGAAACCTAACCTGAGGTGTCCGTGGCGTCGAGCAGTCTGAGGCTGTTAACGGCAGGAACCATACACGGTGGCTAATTAGCCGTCGCAGTTGGAACTGGAAGAATTAAACGTGATTCCGAGCACTGGATGGTTGTTAGTGAGTGATGACAGTCATGACGATGATAATTGTGATGATGAGAATATTGACAATTAGAATCAGGATGGAATCTGGAGGAAGAGATGAAAGTTAAATAGAATGAAACAGGAAGAAAACAATGAGATAGAGATGAGTGAAAAACGGAAAGACATTGAAGTAAAGTGAAAGAAGGACAAGACAGGCAGAGAAATCATTCTGGCAGACAGATAAAACATACTTAAGAGACAAAAATAATACCACAAAAGAATGCAGGAATGCGGACAATTAAAAAAGTTATATAATAGCTCATAAACATAGTGTTGAGGGTAGAGATATCAGAGGAATGGAAGTTGCAAAGCAAGTTACAGAAGCAGTTTAAGGGGTCAATTGAAGGGTGGGGGGCATGTGAAGGGGTTATTTGAAGGGGGCAGTTGAAGAGAATCACAATCACAAATTTTTCTGATTATTCTGAGTACAAACATTTACACGAACACACACACACATATCTTTACCTCTCTTCTAGTCTGACAGGGTAAGATAGCTGTTATATAAACTAGTGAGTTATTAAGCACTCAACCACAGAAGGTGATTAATGTAATTTTATAATTACATCCCATACATCACATAACTGGTGCATTACATAATAAATCTTAGGTACTGGTCCGGTACATCATCAAGTGTTCCAGTTGTATTTACAAAGTTTGGCATATTTCATCCCATGCCTGGCTTTAATTGTGAGGAATATATGACCACTATTATCACTACCCCCGACTTGCTGACCCCCCTTCAACCACAGCCATCTGACGTCACCATCCACTACCATCAGACTTCACCA